TATGCTGCCTGACTCCCAGCAACTCAACAATTCATTCATTGGATTGTAAGTTTTGGCACAGGGGACAGGAAAAAGAGCTTTCTCACACATTCAAAAACAAACTACTATAGACCAAAAAAACATGAACATTAAAAACAAAAAACAAAAAACCCACTGCCTATTAAGTTCAAAATAGTCAGCTTTGCAGTAAGAAGGCAGGAAAAGTTTGCTACCTTATTTTCGGGACTGTAAAATCTGAAGGGAGCTTGGAGATTTTTACCATTTGAGGCCTGTTAGGGAATTTTTCAAATATCCGTAGACGTAATGGGAGCTTTTCCTTGGTATCTGCATTTGCTTCACTTTGTTTCAGCTGAAAATTAAAACAAAAAAGTGAAAAATAAACATTGGAAGGACTGACATCTTAGGGATCAAGTTTTATTTTTCAGAACAACAAATGCAAGCAGTTGAAAAAACACAAGATGGCAGCAAAGAACTACAGAAGATATTCATTCCAACATCAGTTTCTCAATATTTTAAGACTACTGTCACACTTGAAACCGAAGCAGTCCATTTCTTGAAAGATATAAAATGCAAAGGATATTGTATAAATATTTGTATTTCTTTTGTATGTTTTTTTCACAGTTCTCTAACATGCTATAAGAAAAATAAACTCATTTTAGACTCATCTGTTATACATTAATAGAATTAGGTTTTGGACTTGGACTAGAAACAGAATTCCCATCGACTTAGTAAATTCTTAATAAACCAAGGAATCTTTCTTTGGAATTTCTTGCAGTGCCACTCCCTATTAATAAACTTGAAGGCCACATAGTTGGTTCAGGACTTGGTCTTCTGTCCCTCAAAGACAAGCTCATTGCTCTTTTAGCTACTTCCAAGCAATAGGGCTGTCTTTGGAAAGTTCGGTTTTTAAATTGTTTTTCATACTGCACGTTTTTATTGTTGTTGCTGTGAGCTGCCGAGAGTTAGGTATGTAAGACGGGCAGCCATATATGACTGCTAAAAAATTAAGTAAAACGAAAAGTCAACCGAAAGAAAATAGGAAGAAGAAAGAGGTGGAAGGAACATGCGCAAAGGACTAAGGGAGAAGGATGTTTCCCAGGCAGTTAACAAACTTAATGCTGAGCAGCTTTCCTAGACACTCTTCCCCAAAGGAATGAGCATATTGTAATGAGAATTATATCGTTTCAATAGCTAATAGGTAAAGGTATTTCTTTTGCAACAGTAATGGGAAGAAAATACTGTCTTAAATGAGCCATGGTGGCTGATGGCTATCAGCTACTAACACACCCATTAACTTATGCAGAAATTTGAAAGAAATAGTTTGGCAGACACAGAATGTAGCCAGTAAAGGAAAAGGAAACCTAAATTCCAGTATGCTATTTCCTCAGAACAGAGGGATGATAATTCAAAACATACACAGCCGGATGCACTGCAGAGACCACCTCACCCCACCCACATTTAGCACAGATATTTGTTTATGCTGGTATCACAAAATCTACATACTCCAGTATGCCTACCTCACAAGAAAAACTGCCCAAATGAAATGGCTTACTAAAGCAAACCAAACACATAACTGAATTTAGCATAATCGCTAGGAAAGCTGATGGAGAACATATAATCATAGATAAGGACTTGAAGGCATCTGATGGGCAGACTCTTCTTTCAGCCTTTCATGTGGAAGGATAACCGCCTCCAAATAGCTATCACTGTTACAAATAAAGTGCGTGTGCACTGGAAACACCTTGAGCTAAAGGATAAATAAAAAGTACAGATTAATGATAGGATAGTGAAGGGTAAGGAGTCCTTTAAGGGCACTGGAAGGGCCACAATTATCTTCAACCTTATCATTGTTAATGAATTCTTAGGATGGAAGCAGCAGCATACTAATTAAAACTGTTTCGGAACAGACTAGGAGATGTGACAACCATTTAAAAGAAACAAAGCAATGACAGATTCTTCACCCAAACTGCAAACTAATATTTGGGAGGGAGGGAGGGGAAACACTGGCATCAGTCAAAGATGGGAAAATAGCATAAATGGAGCTTGGAATCTCCCCAGCAAAGAATAAAGAGTGAAGAAAGGGAGGGGAGAGGAGGCTTTTAATAAAACTGCATTGTCAAAAAAGCAAGAATGATAGATAACTCTTCTATAGCATTCATATTTTAAAAGGGACCCTGGACAATAAAAAAGAATGTAAGAGCCATTTTCAGTGGCAGCAACTTATCCGCAGAATTTATGAAATTTATTTCTCATGTCCTGGAGAATCTTGGCTTCTCCCATCTCCATGGCAAACTTCTTCTAAAGGTAAGAACATTTCAAAAACTGTATGGGAAAGGGCATGGCTGCTCAAATGAAAAATATGGCACCCTTTGAGTTGAGTGCTGTTTCTACTGTCTTCACGCAGCAGTTCTTGATGATCTGCCATCCAAGTAACAAACAGGCTCTATTTAGCTTTTCCAGACCAGCCAGTTTTTCAAAGGGAAGGAATCAAATATCTAATCCCATAATAAAGCCTTTAGGCACATCTTGGGCCTGACTAATGTGATGGAATGCCACATTATTTAAAGATACCAAAAACATGAAAAAAACTATGTAGGGCTAAAGTTACTTTTTCATGTTAAACCAGAACTGTAAATTTTTGTGGTCAGGGGTTGCAATTTTAATTCAAGGTTTGAGGGAGTTGGCTTCTGTGAACAGCAGAGAGTATGTTGGAGCCAATATCTGCAGCCCTTTTGATTCAAAACTGCAAAATTAAGGCATCCATTTCACCCATAAAATCCCCAAGACAAATCCCCTCCCCAAAATGGGCTGAAAACTTTGGAAATCCCTTCTATGCTAAGCCATAATGATGCAACCCCATCCTTGCAATTTTAACCCATGCCTTCTCTCCTGTGGCAGCTTCACATGTTCTGTTTAGGATAAATTTATACATTAAGCCAAAAGCAAATAAAATACATTATCTTTGCGCAAGGCAACAAAGTGTGGCCAATTTTAATATAAGCAAAACTGAGGAACAATAAAAATACTGATTTGTTAGAGCAGTCTAACAAAAGCGTGTATAAGCAAGAGTAGGAAAAGGCAACATGCTGAAAGCAACATAATGATTAATAACATGCTTTAAAAATAATCTAAGCTCAAAATCATTCTGCAGTGCCTCATAACATCTGTCGTGCTGAGATAATGCTACCTATTGGGAAGTATAAGACATTTAACTTCACTTAGTGCCTTTGAACACTTTTTGGTGTAATATTTGCTCAGCGTGGGGCATATCTTGTTCTTCCTCTACATTGTTCAATTTATAGAAAGTGCTTGCATTATTTTAACCTCCTCCACCCAATAGCTTACAGTGAAACCCCAAAGGTACAAAATATGTAGAACTTTTTCACCATAGCGTTTCTAACTTCATATTCTGTATCTATACTTATAGTTGAGTTCATTTTTTTTTTGAGTTTTAGCGTGCTTTTGTTTAATCTGCAAGCATCTTGTAAAAGTATCTTGGAATTTTCAGGTAGAATGTATTTATCAGTCAACACGTAAGTGGAACTTTGGGAGAGTGGGCTCCATCAGACTCTAAGCCTTGGTGTAAGATAAAAATGAAACATTCATGTGTGCAGCCTAACATTAGCTGACAAAAATAAAGTTTTCCATTCTCCTTCCCTCTGCATAACATATGTACCCCAAAGTCTCTTTGGAGGATCAGACATAGTAAGAAAGGAACAAAAGACTTGCCTTCCTGAATTTTTTAAGGCTACAATCCTACATCGAATTACCAAAAATTGGCCAAAAGGATTTCTGACATGGTGTGTTTAAGATTGTACTATAAAATGAATTGGTTCCCAATCCTCTTTCAGGGAACATAGGAAACTGCAGGATGGAGGAGGAGGAGGAGATGCAAAGTTCAGTGCATCAATAAAACTGGAGTTAACACTAGGGATTTTTAAGAATCCCAGTATTATAAATAATACTTTGATACAACTTGAATAATTTGTCCATTACATTTGAGCAACTAAGAAATAATATATATATATTTACTAATAATCCTGATTGGAGTCCATTTAAATCCAATATTAATCATATTGTTTAAGTCCAATATTAGTGTTCTAAACTGATTTTTGCAAGCATACAGTATGTCAGGATTGCATGTAACCATATAACAAGTAAGTTTAGATTGGAACATTTTTTAACAAGTTTGAATTACAACTAAATAATGGGTGTCTTTTTCAGTGTCATCTTTTCTCCCATTTTATTTATGAGTCACTATCATGGGTTTAGGACTTACATTTACACATTTCAAAGATGTATTTGTCATTTTGTTAAGCAGCCAAATATATGAAAAAGGCATACACAGATTTGACAAAATAAAATGTTCACAGGAACTCATGAATATGTTCTATTTTAATGCACATGATACAGTCTTGGAAAAGGTCAGATCTGTCTGAAATCAATGGTGCATTTAAAATGAAGAGCTCTGCTACTGGGAGGCACAGTTTCCCTAAATCTGGCCAGCTGCTCTGAGCGACTTCATGGTGAGGGTGAAAAGCCCAACGCCTTGGGAACTGTGTCTTTTTTATTGAGAACTTTTCTGGCTGCAGTAGGAGCTATAAACGACACAAAAATAAACAAGTAAATAAACAAACAAATAAATACTGTAAATTGTTTAGGAGATGAGGGGATATTTCCAATAAATAGGGTTTGATGATAAAAGATGATGTATTGCAACATCATAACATTAACTGGACTGACACTCTTCAAATGAACATGGGAGTCAGCGTGGGAACTGAGCTGACTTTGTAAATATATCGGTCTGGTACATTTCAATGCTGGAACACTGTTTAACATACAAACAATACAGCAGGGGGTTAATTTTCAGCTGTTCTCTTTCCTCCTATCTGTTTCATTGCCAGGTTTCATAGCCGGAGAACTTAGAAACCTATTACTGAAACTCACACAGTGCTTACAGCGATGGCTAATCCAACAATGGAGGATTATGGGAACTGCAGCTAAATCACTAGAAAGCATAACACAATATACAAGATCAGAATGGACACAATACTCATACAATCTTCTCATTTCTTCTACAAGCGCATTGTGATTAAGGGCTTCCACAGCTGCTTTTCAAAACTAGTTCTATTAGTTTTTTTTTCTTGATTGACCTAATGCCAGGTATTAGTAATGTGGAATAATCTGAACATCAGAAAATTATTCTTTACTGACCTCATGCTAATAGGGAAGCTGAGCAGTTCTGCATGCTCAACAAACTCTATAGTTAGTCAAGGCTACAGCATCTAGCATCAACAAGAGTTTCTGCACCTT